GTATCCGCAGTACATCAATGGGGCTTAAATAGCAAATAAAGCAATAAAAGTATAAGGATTTAGAAATAATTCAAATGTGGCTAAATGCCTGTTTTCACTGTGAGACAGGACAACAGCTCAAGCAGATGCTGATCTGACTGCTCTCCAGTATTTAATTTTTTCTTTACCTAAACTCATAGTGAATTTGGCAGCATCAATATATAACAATATATGACATGTAAACTCATAGTTTGCCCTTTTTTGTGACTCTCTCACTGCCTCCTCAAACAGAATAAATTCTTTTATCAATACATTATCTACATATTATCCCTTCTAATTAAATTTCTTATTAATTGTGTCAGATAAGGCACATGAGAGCGTACAGATGAGTCTGACCAATAACAGTAGTTATTCCTTAACCACTCACTCACTCACTCACAAATACTCACAAACACACTCACTCCCTAATTCACTCATTCACACTCACACATTCTCACACATTCTCACACAATCTCACTCACTGTCTCTCACACTCACACACCCTCCAACAGACATGTGTCCGCTTCTCGGCCATCTATCGCTCTCCGAACTCTTCGTAGAACTGAATAGCGTGCAGGAGCTTCTCCCTCAGGGTCTCCATGTTGCTGTAGTTGGGGAGATGTAACACGCAGTAGCAGGTGTTGGCCACAGGGTAGTAGTCATCTGGGCCCTCTTTGTTCGCCTTGATAATTTTCAGACAGACTGTGGAGAGCCCTCCCACTGGCAGTCGGTCACTTCCGGTCATGAAGGCTAAGATAGAGGGAGCACAAAGGGTCACTGTGCTAAGACAAAGGAGGGAGATTTCGCCAAGAAACCACAATATCGTCAGGAAAAAACAAATATACTGGAAATATATATCATGTAATAAACATATTACATTCAATAAATGTACACAGCATGCAAAACTCAACAGTTTTTTGTTATTTGCTAGAGTGGAAATATGAACATTTAGTCTGTACTCAGAGCAGCATGGTGTATGGAGAACTTACACAAGAAGTTCTTCTTCTGTTGTTCTGAGAGTTCTGCAAAAACGCTCCAGAAACGCTGGATGTTCTCGTGGTCAGCATTGTAGCCCTCATATGTGGCGTTCTGTGTGGCAATAAGAGAAGAAGGCGCGAAGTGTGAAGAGGAAGCCAGACAGACATGGCTGCCAGTTGGAGCTCACTGCATCGGCCACTCGCTCAAGTGGCAGCAAAAGGAGGCTTTACCTTCTGCAGCTTCTCCCATTCGTAGTTGACATTTCCAGTGAAAACTGCAAGAAGCTCCTCTGGGACAAACATTTTCCATTTTTCATTCGGACAGCCGCAGGAAAATCCTTTCGAAAATGCGCTGAACTGTTGCTCGACTGAAACGTTGAATACATAATTGACGTAGGCATCTACGTATTCACATCTGTAGGAGAGCGAGATGAGGTATCAATGTTGCTATTATGCTGTAGACATTACATGCTTCTGTAATAAACAGTATAACTGATTAACATACTAAAATTGCTAATTCAAGCCGCAAAAACAAAAACCTGCAAAAGTAGAACTTTGAGGTCACAAATGACGTACCTGTTGAATTTGGTAACAAGCTTCTCTCGTCCATTTGGAACTAATTCATGTCCTTTTGCCTATCAGAGAGGAACAAAATGTAATAAGTGATCAACTGTATGGCAACTGAGTGCCTGACTGAATATTTCACTGTGTGATGGGAGTAAAGCTCACTGTGAAGTCCAGGTCCAACTGATCTACAAGGTCCTCCTCTTCTTTCAGGACGTTGTTCAAACTCCTAATTTAGAGAAAATGTTAAGCTGTTAAGCAGTTAGCATGAAAGAGCAGAGCAGTGCTCTTCAGCACTGGCAGAGGGAAGCACCTGGCTTCTACTGGAGAAAGCTCTTCTAGGTCCTTCAGCGTGGGCTTGTGGCCCAGTAGCTTCTTAAACAGCACCAGGGGGAAATGGAAGTTGACGATGCAGAAGTTGTACAAGGCCATGCCACAGAGAACGCCGAGCCACCAGAACAAGTCTGGGTCACACTGGACCTAAAAGGGCAGCAGAAAACTTGGTACTCAATGACTCAACTTAGACGTCATTATTCATACAGGATCTGAAGAAATTCTGCAAGTAAAATATTACAAAAAGGCACTGCTGGGACCTTTAAACAAACCTTTGAGATGAACCAAACAGGACTGGAGTGTTCAAAGGATTCAAACAAGTTCGGCCTCATTGAGTGAAATTCCCTTGCGAGTATGGAGAAGAATTCTTGAGAAACACCTCCATGATCGATACCGTACTCTTCGTAAAACTTCACCTGTATAGAAGTAGTCAGTAAACATGTAAAGGCATTCCGAGATAATAAAGGCAAGCCCTCTAAACTCTAAATAGTCAGAGTTGGTGTAATACACCAGTAAGGGTTGGAAATCTTAACAACAATGGAACAGGAATCAATGGAACAGGAATCAATGGAACAGGAATGGAACAGCAGTGGAGGTCAAGCAAGTGAAGAGTCAATCAAACTCATTACACAGAGCCACATATCAGGTGTTAATGTTAAGCATGAAATGACAGGCATGTCAGTATTGGGTGTTCAGTATGTAACACTCTCATATGACTATTATTTTGAAGGTAAGAAACATCGTCCTCAACTGATAGCATATGACTGATTCCAACAAACTGTGGGATTAGCTCCCAGAAAATGTAGTAACCTGCAAAGGCAAACAGAAGTTCCGGGAGACGTTGCGGAGAAGGTGGAGTGTGTCGGCCAGCAGCGACTTCCTGTTTACGTGCAGGGAGTTCTGCTCGAATGGGTTTACAGAAGCTTCTCTCTGTCAGAAACAAAGAACCAGATAATACTGCTGCATTATCAATGGGTACTTCTATTTTTATGTAATATTGTTGGCTGGAAAGTCCAAACTGTACTTTACTATAGGATCTTACCACAAAAATGATGAAGTTAATTTTAAATATTGTGTATTTAGACTCCATGTCAAAGAATTCAGGATACTGTGACAGAAGATTTAGGATTTTCTGAAATGGAAAATTATGTTAAACCCATCTACTTCGAATTCCAAGCCACTGCTGGCGAAATATATAAATATGTATAAAATGTACCATGAATAGTTTTTTCTTTCTGAGTAACCGCAGCTGGAAAGAAAAGTTAATTCCAGTTTTATTCAGCGAACACCTATTTAATGATAATATAATAATAATTACTGTGATTGAATACTCACATCACGAAGGCAGAGTTTAATCTCACTGTTGTAAAAGTTACTATCTTCTATTTTTGTACCGGATCTGAGGTTAACCTGCACGCAAGATGTACAGACCAACATATGAAGTTCAGAATTATGTAGTATCTGAGATCCATATGACGTATGACAGTGAAGCAGTCGGTTAGCATGTGATCATCACAGGATACCTCATAGAGCCTGTGCAGAAGGATCGCGGTATTCTCCAGTTTCAGTTTCCAGTCTGAGTCATCTGTGCACTCAGTCCGCATCTCACGCAGGAAGGCTGACAACACTGAGCGAAAGATCTTAACAAGGCTCTTGAAGAAGATAACAGGAAGCTCCGACCATAAGGCCTCTGAGAAAATTAGAAGCATAAACCTTGATGAAATAATTGTACACCTTCCACGTGCACCATCAATATTTTGCCATCCTATGCCACAAAAGACAAGCAATCACAGCACATGGAGTGTTCATACGGTCAAGTAGTGAACTGGGATCGGATCCTTACGCATATCTACATGGGGTAGAACGGCTTTGGCAAAGGCAAGGCTGAGGTCCCTGGTGTTCTGTGTGGGCAGAACCCTGATGAGCTCAGGCAGGATCAGGTAGACCCACAGCCCTTCCACATCAGCAGCCACTGGGCTCAGAGATGGCAGCAGATGCTTCAGAACCACGGATAAAACCTGAAAATTGAAGCGTTTGAAGAACTATGTCATCCAAGCGTCAGCCAATTAGTTGTCTAGAAAAGCGAGAGCCCACTCTGTGATCCCCACTGGGCTGAGAGAAAGGTGACCTAGTTGATAAAGCAATCTAGTTAGCTTCACTTAATCATACCTGATTCAAGACTTCCTTGTTTCTTGCAAGCTTTTCAAATGTCTGACGTACAAGAGATAAGTCCAGGCTAGAAGTTTTGGATCTGGTTCGGCAAAACCTGTCATGGCTGAGATGAAGGCAAAACATAACATGAGCAATACCGTTATACGAGAGGGCTGAAGAAGCAGTGATTGGTGTTAATGACTCTTACCTCTGCCTGAGAAAGCTCCCGTTAATACAGGAAGCTGATGAAAAAAGCTGAGTTATTTCTCTGAAAGAGAAGAGTAAATGCTGATCAGTAGCTGCAGAGCTGAAAATGTCAGATTGGAAGAAAGAAGCTACATTTAAAACTGACTTTTTTATGGTTTTCCGTGACTCTGAATTACATCTGGACAACCACTTGTTGACTGTTTTGTCATCTATGGTGGGAATTCCCTCCGAAGTGCTGCAGTTTTCAGGCCCCTGAAAATACAATATGTGCTGTGCATTCTCATCTCTGTGTGCCAGATACAGGGTGAAGCTACTGGAACCAACTAGGCGCATTTACACTTTGCACCATCCTACCTGAACAGCAGACCAAAGTGCAAAGCACTGATTTTCACCAGCAAGGATTCTGCGAAGTCCACACTCACGGTGCTCTGAAATATTCCGAAACACAGATGAAATTAGTCAGTACACAGACTCTTTCTGAAAGCACAGGGCTGGAGATCCGGAGGTGATACTGTGATGGACATTTCTGTGAATTATTATGGCAACGTACACAGAAATTTTGATACATGCAAATCACATGAATACCTGTTGGCAAGTGAACAGGAAGTGGTATATTCTGATCTGTGGTCAGTCCATTTCCAAGCTGTCCCTGTTGACCATGGCCGAAAGCATAGATCGTTTTCAAAGATGCAACATAGGTAAGTGTGTGGTACCTTCGAGGGAGACAAAAAAATGTCACAGATTTCCATCTATTTTTAATTCAACAGACTTACAAACACAATATCTGAACTGCAATACCTTCCACATGCGATCTGACTCACTGGCGCCCCCCAGAGTTCAGCCACCAGCCGAGGGCGCAGCTCGTCTCTGTCTGAGTTGTGCCCCAGCTGGCCAAAGTCTCCAGACCCAAATGTGAACACAACGCCTCCCTGTGGCCATATAGAGTAACAAATGTGAACATGAGGCCTCCCTATGGCCATACAGGCAGTGTGCGAAATACGGGGGGGATTCTAACACTCCCGATTAACCCATGAGACCCCCTGAAAGCCTCGAAAGCAAAATTTTAAGGGGGTCTCAAGATCGGTATTGCGCAACAATAGGGAGATGGGGACCCCCCCGAATATTGACAGGTATTTCACACACTGCATACAGGGTAACAACCGTGAACATGAGGCCTCCCTGTGGCCATACAGGGTAACAAACATGAACATGAGGCCTCCCTGTGGCCATACAGGGTAACAAACGTGAACATGAGACCTCTCTGTCGCCATACAGGGTAACAAACATGAACATGAGGCCTCCCTGTGGCCATACAGGGTAACAACCGTGAACATGAGGCCTCTCTGTGGCCATACAGAGTAACAAACGTGAACATGAGGCCTCTCTGTGGCCATACAGAGTAACAAACGTGAACATGAGGCCTCTCTGTGGCCATACAGAGTAACAAGTGTGAACATGAGGC